TTTTTAATTTCTTTTAAAAAAAAAAAAAAAAAAAATAGAATTTGACAATTTTGTTGCAGGATCTGTTGCTCAGGAGAACAGACATAGCAAAAGAGTTGCCAGGAGGAAGCTAAATGGAAGTGACTCTGAATATTCCAAGACCCCTTACAGAATAGTCAGCAGCAAAGAAAGTCGCAGAAGAATTCCACGCAGAAGTGCCACTGTGGCTGCTAATAAATTAAAGCTGATGAGGGATGTGAAGGAGGAGGTCTCCAGCTCGGAAAGCATTGGCACTGGGTGCAAGAATAGAAAACTTCCCCACCGCGATGCCTCTGCTGTGGCTAGGAGAATGTTACTGGATGGCTCTGAGGATGATGCAGGCTTAAAGTCAGAGAGAGAAGAGGAGGTAAAGGAGCAGTACACCAGGAGGAAAGCTCATTCTCGGCCTGGTTCATCTGCTGCTAGAAGAAAATACATTAGTGAATCTGAAAACGGAAGTTCAAATTCTGAAACTGAAACAAAAGTGGCAGTGGCAAGTAAGCAAAGCAATGGCTATAAACAACCCCACAGAACAGTCTGTGCTGCCTCACCTGAAATGAAAGATCTTTCAGGTGAAATCCTGGAGGATGACTCTGGAAGCCACAAGTCAGAGGATGAGAGCAGTCGGAGACTTTCTGACCAGTCCGTTTCTGTATGCAAACCTGTAGGGATGCGCAACTCCAAAGATGGGGCAGACTCTGACTCAGACCAGTGGAATGGTAGAAACAACAAGAAGCTGACCACTCAGAAGCCTCCAGCCAATTCCAAAAGAGCAAAAGTCTTAAGTGATTTAGAAGACACAGCAGAGTCTGAAGCAGAGGAGAGGGAGGATGGGAAAAGTTCTGCTTCAGAGAGTGTGGAGCCTTCTGGGAGCTCAAAATCTGGACCTGAAACCAGTTTATACTGGTCTTCTGATTCTTCTGAGTCTGAAATATTAGATGCCAATAGATGTAAATATGGTGATACCAAAACAGCAAAAAAGAGGAAACGAAAAGGAAAAACCAAAGTCATTAGAAAAGGTAAAATTTTTAAAGCTAATGCATCTAATTCTATGGTACTGTCTAGACGGAGGAAACGCCGTAGGATTAATATGGATGATGATGACTGGGAGGATTTGGACTGTGCGAACTGTAAAATTGCTTTTCAACACTAACATAAGAACTAGAAATCAGAGTAGGAGAACTGTAAAATATGACTATAATGACAGCGTCTAGAGTGTGTTGAAAATGGAAGATACCGAATATGACATTAAGGGCAATCTATTCCAGTTTTATGGTAATAGCAATAGAATTCATAATGAATGCCAGCTGTTCCATGTCGTGTAATTCCAGGAATATATTTTCTATGAAAAACATACTAAATCGTGATAGTTTCTTCCATACTTCAACTTGCATTCGTTTGCCTATGTAGCAGTTTGTAGGAATTCTCAGTGTCTTATTTCAGGGCAATACTTCAATGTGGACTGGAACCATACTGCAAAAGTAACAGTTTAAAATCTGTTCACTGTCAGTCTGTGGGCTGCTACTGTATAATATTGAACCTTACTGTAACAGGTCTGTGCGAGAGGGTGTGAAGAGCATATCTTTTTAGGCACTTAAGAATTTTAAGTAGCAGCCTGTTGTTGTGCCTGTTTCTTTTTCAAAATTTCAATTACAAACTTAGTTTTATAAATAATTCTGTAGTCTGACTCTTGTGAGTAAAGTAACAGAAATTTACCAGAGAACCATATTTTTTGAACTGCTAAGTTTTGTGCTAATAAAATTTAACCACGTAAGTTACTAACTTTAAGTTTAATTTTTATTTTTCTTCAAGATATTGCTAAAGAGTTTTGAGTGAAAAGTGGTGTTTTGTTTTTATACACTTTTTTTTTCCCGTGGTGTAAATTAGAACCCATAAATTAATACTTTTAGCTTCTGTTGGTTGTTTTCAGACTACTTGAAATGAAAATGTTTTGACTTCACAATAGCAGTGTTGCTGTATTGATTTGATTTCCACATACATTCCTTTTTTTAAATTATTTAAGATACAGACAAGTTAACAGATACAGTGATGATCCCCATATCCTTCAGTTTATCCAGATTTCAAGGGGCATTCTAGTTTTTAGTGTAACAGAAGTTGGGTTACTTCTATGATCCTGTAGAAGTCCCTTTATCACCATCTCACTGACGCATGCTCATTGTTTTAAGTGGGAGGTGTCAGTACTTCAGTCACAGCAAGCAAAGCTAATTCTGAAGCCTTGAGAATTCTCCTGAGTTCTAGTCAACCAGAAAGGGGGATTTGAACCTACTAGATCTATAATAATAGTTCATGAAGCTCGTATAATAAAATAGCTTTGCCCTTTTCACAGATCCTTTTATATACAGAACACTTTTTTCTCTACTGTACCGTAGAAGACTGTTTCCAATTCCTCTGAAGAGATCTACCCTTTGTGCAACCAGCCTATGTATATATGATGTTTCTGGTTTTTAGCACTTTACAAATGGCATGAGTAAAATTTAAAAAAGGGGGGGGGGGGGCCAAAAATCTTGTGTATTTACCTCTTTAATGAAGTACAATAATACTGTAGTTAGTAGTAACAAATAATTTGGCAAACACTAAACAGAGGAAGAAAATCAAGTAAGAAATTGATTTTTGTCTGTTGCTTTACTTTTGCATAACTTCTACATATCCTTTACAATCTTCCACTTACCTTTCTCCATTCTCCAAGTTATGGATTCTTGAATTCAGTGTAATATGAAGAATTGTATGATGGCATACTTATTAAAAAAAAAAACAAAAACAAAAAAAACACTTTTCTTCAGTGCCACTATTATTAAGATTAAGTCTACAAAAGATGCATCAACTTTTTCTGCACACCATGATCAGGATAGGGTTTTTAAAAAAAAGGTTTGGTTTCTTTCATTTCCCACATCATCTGGTTTGATAGTTAATGAAAGATGGAGCTGTCTTAACTGCAGCACTATAAAATGATAAAATATGCTCATTTAGTATTTTTTTTCTAATTTTTAATTTCTTTCCAACAAGTATAAGATGGGGGAAATGGCCTGGGTCATCACTGTATTTCTGACAAAGAATTGTCAAAAGAATGCAATTTTTTTACTTTAAAAATGAAATTCATTTTTCTTGGCTGCCACATAATTTTGATTCTGTTGCACTTTAAGTGTGTGTGTGTGTATGTATATATGTGTGTGTGTGTATATGCCTTCTGGCAGAGTTTGATATATATTTTGAGAGACAATGATATGGGAATCTCAGGAAGTATGTAATTTAATGCGTCTTGTGATTTAATTATTCTGACAATTTTCCAAAACAAATATGACTTTGACTTACCAACACCTGACTTATTGGTGCCATATATTTTGGGTTCTTCCTAACATGCTAACCTCAGTGAATGGTGTGTAAGACAAAATGGCAGGTGAAAGAGGACCTGCAAAAACAAAATGATCACTAAGCTCTTAGTTGTGTTGCCACAAATACTTATTCCCATTCCATTAAAGTTCCAGTTACATTTTCAGCACCTTTTAGTGCTCTTCCTGAAACTTTGTTTTGTAAGCAGAAAATAAATCCAAAATAAAATGATATTCTTTTTGGAGACTTGTAAACTTAATTTTCAAAAAGTTTAAAGAGATGGGTTTTTTTTAAATAATGTAGAAGAGACTCTTTAATTTTTATAGAAATATTACACCCTGTTGAATTTGTATATTTTGCAGTAGGAAAAAGATGGATGTTATATTTTATCAAGTAAAATTTCTTGAGTTTAGGACTTCTACTTTTTAAAATTAAAAAAATCTACAAAGTGCTGCCTGTTCAAAGTTGGACAATTATGATTTTTTTTAAACTTCTGTAGGGAAAGCTGGTGTATGCAGAAGATTCCAAATTAGATCAGCCAACATCAAGTTTTGATTTATGTTTATGTTGTGTGTTTGCTTGTTAGCGCTTGAAAGATTGGTGTTTTAACCTATCTGTCATGATGTCTGAAGCCTGATGAAAATCTGGTTTATATCCTTGTGTTTGTTTCTTCACTGGTTAAACTGTAGCTCAGTATATTGTACTGTATATGTTGGATATCAAATGCTCACTTGTATTTCAGTTTCTGATTTCTTAAATAGAGCAAAAACTCAAATCGGAATCACGTTTTGTCTCTTCACTTATAAAAGGCTACTAATCTTTTAAAAATTATTCTGCAGTTGATGGATTAGGATAAAAATAAGTTTAGTGCACTTTTTTCTTAAAGCAATAATTATTTGTATCCAGAGGATAAAAATGATAATAGTAAACTTTCAAAAAAGCTCTTTTTTGTAATTGTTGTATGCATTGAATCTATTATTTTCAATTTGCCGGTCTGTGGGCCACACTGGGTAACTGCTGTGGCCTGAGGAAAAAAATCTAATCATTATATAAAATTACTATGAATTTTAATAAGAAAAATAAACTGTTCCTCTCTTCTCCTGATATCTAGATTAGAAAACAATTGAATTTTATATAGTAGTCATCAACCTTCCTTCTCTACCTATAGCTATCAAAGTACAGTTTTCCCTTGTCAACCATGTTTTTGAGTATCTACACTTAATATTCTGTACGCCATTTTGGCTACCACTGTATACAGTTTTGGGTAACTGTGGTTTTCCATGGCCATGCGTCAGCCCACCACATGCCATTTTTCCCATAAGCCTTTTGTCTCGCTAACCATGGTTTTGTCAACCACGGGGACTTTCAAGAACCTAACCCCAGCCGTTGGCAAGGGAAGCCTGTATTGAGAGTGCTAAAACCACAGAGAGCTGAGTAACTTTTTTAAAGTGTTTTTTAATAATAAAACACTCACCTCTTAAAATACATTAATGGAATCCAGTTTTTAAGGGGAGAGATTGAGATGCATTATAAATATATGGCAACAGTGAATGCTGTAAAAGTTCTTGAAAGGTATTAATAAGCATTTAAATTGATAGTGACTTAATGCAGCAGAGAATGATTTCTCCACTGGGACTCATAGCTGAAGCAATCAGCTACTCAACTCAAATGTGTGAAGGAAGTCTACAGGAAGTGGTATGTGTGAGCATACCTGTGTACCAAGCACAACGCGTTATCCTTTGTATTTGTCAGATGTAGACCAAAGTAGAGCATGAATTTTAAGGTTACATAACACAGACGGACAGGTGACCTAAATAGAGTGATTGTTTTTTCTGTTACAGCTGTTTCTTGGGGTGGCCATTTCTGCCAGCCCCACCTACACAGTTTTGCACAAGTTAAACACAAGGTCATAAAACTGATTTCATTAACAGTTCCAAGTCTATTTAGGTGTTCCTATTTTGAGTATTTTTCATCTTGCTTCAAAATTAAGCTAAGTTATGATAAGTCATCTTTTCCTCCTCTCCCATGTGCATGCATGCGTATATATGTGTGTGTGACATATTGACGTGGCCACAAACTTCCCCCACTTCAAGTAAAGCTATGATCTTGAAACCAGTTTGGTTTAACCTGTGGAGGTTTTGTCACTTCGCTTATTTTAGAGGCCAGATGAGTGGTGTGGGATTGGTTCACAAGCCAAATGAATGGTGTGGGGGCAGCCCTGCAGACTAGATCAGGCCCACAGACCCCTCCCTTCCAGTTCCAGACCCAGCAGGAAGAGGCCCAGTATCAGGGGTGCTTGGCTGCCACTGTGGGAGCAAACTACAATGTCAGTGCTGCTGGGGTCCAGCATAGTGGCTCTCACCAGTGTGGGTGGCTACAGCTGCAGAAAGGTCCACGCTGCCCTCCTTCCATCAAGGGCCAGATCTGATCTGCAGGCTGTATGCTTGGTACCCCTAACTAAACCTCTTTGTGCACACACACTCTCACTCTCTTGCTCACTTCCCCCATGTAGTCAGAGTGGGTGATTAGCTCAAAATACCAGTCCCTTATCTGAAGCCTGGGTTTAGGCACTGCTGGCTTTCTGTCCTTAACCGGTTTCCATTTGTGTCTTTCTGTCTTTATTTGGATAGTGTATGATGGTTTGTGTTCCCATCCTTATGTACCATGGTGT